ATATTATAGTTGATTTTTCAATATGTTGATTTCCTGATTTAGATTGAAATTTTCTTTCATACTAGTTTTACAATGTATGATAAATAATGAAAATCTTTGAAGCATCGTTGAATATTAGTATATTATGCCAAAATTTTATTTTTGCGCTAAATTAAAAATGAAATTTAATGAATTATGTATTTTTATTGAATATTTAATAAATATAAAATGTTGTAATATATCATTTCTTTATTATATTCCTTAAAAGATCAAACTTGTAATCGCATGTGTATAATTTTTATTATAGTTTATATATATATATTAACTATCTGGTAAACTCTGTTTGTTACAATAAAATATCACACACACGCGATAATATTTGAGATATAATTATTATAATTTTATTATATATGAATTATTTAATATCTTTTAATTATGTAATATCTAGATTTTAATAATAATTTTCTTTTTTATTACGACCATCAGAATTTTGGTTTCGATTTCTATAGGCAGCGCCAACTTTTTTTATATTTAAAAAGCTCTTCTCTGCATTATAATTTTTTGGATGAGCGCATGGACTTGCGCTCTTTCTTGAAAAAAATATCTTAGGAACCAAAGACATCCTCCAGCTGATTTAAAATGCAAATTATTTAGAATTTCACATCGCTAAATATATATCTTAAAATGAAGGTAATCGATGATGATAAAGTTTCCTCTTTTATGAATGTTTATTGATCACTTGAAAAATCTTGAAATATTTTCATAAATTATTATGATAAAAGTCATCAATTTATTAAAAAAAAAATATTAAAGTTTTGTCACGTAAATAAGATCTGCGTCATTCATGATTCATTTGGAGCAAACACAGAAATATGCCAATTAGCGAGCAAGTGAGTGTTAGTGTTAAAGTGAGAAAACGAAAGAATTAAAAACGCGATCTTGCGATCATCAAGATCAATGAATATAGCAATAAAGTTTCGCAGAAGACAAACAAATGCGAAAAGTCATGAAAAATATTGATTTATAGAAACATTAATTACTGAATCTTTAATTACCGGATTTTGCGACAGAGTAGCTCGATGGTTCAATAATAATAGATAAATTAAGCAATACAGACGCATATTTACACACATATATATATATATACACACACATTTAAGCGATATAATAACATTGACGGGTAGCATTTCGATTTACATACCACATAGAGATACCGCGTGTTCTTTTTTCATTCTCTCGTTATAGTGAGAGATCCAGTGGCGAGAAAAATAATCAAGACAAATTTAATATAGAGTGTATATACCTTTGTTTGTGCAGTGAAGGTCATCTGATGGCGTAAAAGTAGTAGAACATAACCGCAAGGTGTTCATGCAAAAGAAATACTTGTATAGTAATCCACATTAAATTCGCACGGAAAGAACGCAGCACTACTTGTAAAAATTTAAGAAATAGGCAATAGGAGTATTTAGATTAACAATCATGCATTTGAACTCTCTAGCAATTACAATACAAAAATAAAATAAAAAAAGGTGTGAAATAAAATTGCAAGCAAAAAAACATTAATTATAAACAAAATATTTTATATTTATATATATTATTATATTTAATACTATTGAATAATATAAAAAAATAGGTCAAGAGAAAGAGAGGAGGAAAAACATAATTTTTAGTCTGAAAAAATGTTTTTACTTGAATAAATACATGATACACAAAGACTCCAATCGCGAATATGCAGCGGATACTTTTCTGATAACAATATCAGATAATATTTTAATAATATTTCAACAATTACCTAATATAATACTTTTGATCAGTTGCATCTATATGATCAAAGTGCAAAATGACATAACAACATAATAAAGCTGAATATTATTTAGTTACACGAGCGCTAATTTCTTTCCATATCGAATAATTCATAGTTCGGATTAATGGGAAAAGCACATGCTTATGTTAGTTATATCAGCCACTTTTCTTTTGAATGTAGAATCACGTGAGACATGGGATCAACACTGGAGGTAAATTAATTAGATCCTTAAGCATTACCGCTTTCGCGTATCTTCGCCAATCGATTATTACAGAGGATGATAGATGTGTACTTAATATTCTTCGCTTCTAAAAATGCTCGACTTTTTATACTGGTACGACCGACGTTGAGGCATCGACAATTATAATTTCGACCCATGACGTTTGACGTCGATCAAGAATAATTCTTTGATCTCTTCATGACGCTCACCGTACCATAATATGTATAAATCGAAATTGGATCCGCAAACTTACCTTTTCCGTACAAAATAGGCACATGATCAGTAGCCAATCTCGTTTTCGTTTTGATACCAACAAGAAGCGGCGATCCTCGCCTCGTAGCCACGCATTCATCTGGGAAGTACTTGCTTTTGAAGCAAAGAGCAAAAGCTCCTTCCTAAAATGTTTTTTATATCGTTATCTCTCTTTTTTGTTTTGAATCTATTATTTTAATAAAAAGTAAAAAATAATAGAACTTTTTTTATTTTAATTTAATTTACTCTATTTTTCGATAAAAAAAAATTCTTTTTTATCTTTCCTTCATAATTCTTACCAATTGTTGAACAACTTGCTCGACGAGTTCACGAAATGAGTACGTGGGATGCTGTACCCACAAATGATAAATCAACTTGGCAATAACTTCGGTATCAGTATCGCTCTCGAACACGTATCCTCTCTGTTGCAGCAGAGTTTTGACTTCCTTATAATTTGTCACGATACCTATATTCAAGATAATTATATATTATAAAGAATTGAAATATTTTAAAATAGAACGCATTCATATACAAACTTTTTCAATCAATAAGGGCTTATAATTCTGTTGGGTCTTGTTTTACAAAAAAATATTTCAGACGAAAATTGTATAATATCGAGAAGAGCATGAGGAAGTAACATCGGTTTAATGTTATCTACGATCTCTAAAATCACAACTTGATTTTTTTCTAATAGAAACTTCTTTTCACAAAATGTCCAGCTTCGTCAAGCCAAAATTAACATTTGTAGTCTATGGACATTTTATTTAAGATTTGTAAGTAGTTTTGATATATTTAGATAAGAAACAAGAAAAAATCATGATCAACTTCGAGAAACATTTTTAGTCCTTTATCCAATAAGAACACAATTTTGAGAAAACCTAAATCTACATGTTCTCTCTTGAGAATTTTCCCTAC